ACTCCTAGTATCCCCCTTAATAACCCCTATAGTAATCCCCTATAGAATCCCCTAATATAACCCCCTTCAAGGAGTTTAGACCCTAAACCCTAAACCCTATAGAATCCCCTATATAACCCCCCTTAAGGGAGTTTAGACTGTAGCTCATTTGGTCCCAACGGGGTGATCAGCGATGCCGAGCTGTATGTTGGTGCTACCCATGTCTGGACACATCGTACGCCGTAGGTTGCTGCCACCCTGTGGCTATGAAAACACGGTTTAGGGTTTAGGGTTTAGGGTTGAGCAGCTCTACTTGAAGGTTCATGGGACTTAGTAACTACTTATAACTGGGCTTATAACCCTACTTATAACCCCCCTAAATGGCCTCATAGGGGTTACCCCAATTATACGTAGGGTTATAACCCCAGTTATAAATAGTTACTAAGTCCCATGAACCTTCAAGTACTCATGGATAATCATTCTGGTTTCCCAAAATCGGGGGACCACAATAGTATATAGACCTCAATATACTATATTCCTTATTCTGGGGACACCTAAAATGGTAATCTCCCTGAACCCTAAACCCTGAAACCATCATCACAGTAAGCGCCAATTGGCAGCAACTTCATATTAGTTTTTGTTGCCTGACAGGGCGCAAGCGGTACTGAATGTGCATCGGTTCCTTTGGCATTAATCTTCAATCTCGCTTAACTTCCGATGCGGAATCCGAGAAACCCGCCTGATCGGTCATGGCATCATGCGGGCCAATAATAAGATAACCACACCTCAGAATAACGAATGCTCCCCGTATAATACCGTGACATAATAACTTAAAGGACCGCCATACCTTGAATATCCCTCGCCCATACTCCCAAAAGTTCCTTGCCCATACCCCCGTATGCGCAACTCTAGAGGGACCCTTAAACCCTCTAACGTGCACATGTAGCCTGTAGCAGCTACTGACCCATGAAGGCATGAAGGCATCCAGGAAGACATGTGATCTGGGGTGCGGCTTAAGGAGAGAAGGAAGCCCTGTTGTTGCATTCAATTTGGTGTATATCCAGATTCTGATACGCGTTGTTCTACCTCTCTTACAGTAACACCGACCCAGTCTCCGCCCAGCACTAGTGAGATGTTCGATTTACGCCATTTCGACTTTGAGATGTCTAACATTTGTGCAACCGTGAACTTGGAGCCGGCCTGCAGAAGCCACACCAGCAGCATATCTGGGCGTGAACGGCACCGCATCGCCGGCGGCCTCATGCCACAGAAATGTTTGCGCCCAAGATTCGAAAGCTCAAAACCTGCACAGCTGTACAAGCTACTTACGGTTCTACCTAGACGAGTTCCCAATGAAGAAGCCATCTAACTGTCAGAACAATGCGATGATGAGAACAGAGTTCCCACCGCATTGCTACAAGCGGCAGGATGAAGAAGTACCATCCTACATCATCCTACTTAAAGCCTGCTCACCAATCCTTCCCTCGTGCGCGAACAGCCGTGGCAGTATGGATGCGACAAGTTTAGCAGCATGCTGAGGCGCCATCATTGCATAGACACAGGGGGCACAAAGCATGTCTGCATCTGAAAGGCAGCGATATTGCTCGGGGATGTCGACACCTTGCCAAAGGGCACCCCAGCATCAGTGGGTGACAAAAAGGCATTGCTGGAGAATCAGGCAACTCTAACGTGCGAATGGCACAAAAGTCTTTTCAGCCCGGGACCTTTGCCATGCGCGTAGGGAAGCAAGGAGAGGGCGTCCTTCCAGAAGCGCGCCCACGGCCAACCACCGCAGGTGCACTGCCTCTTGTCACCTGAGATCAAGCGCACAACAGATTCGAACTTTTGATGCAAACTATTTTACACCACTAAGTCCAAAGCCAAAACTTGAGCTTTGGAGAAGGCACAGGCAGAACGTAGCTGCAGCTCTGAGCCAGAGGCGGAGACGTGCCTCTTGGTGTCATGCATGCTTTTGGGCAGCACTGCGCAGGAGATGGCGACCTGGTGGTATAGACTACCTGGCGCGGAGGACTGTGGCTACAAGGGTGTGCAACCTGGTGTGATGCCAGAACCATTCTCGCAGCTGGAGGGGGGGAGCGACCACGGTGCTCCACCACTGGCTCAGTTCTTACCTGAGGGCCGGGCGGGTATGCAGCGGAGCCACTGGACAAGCCCAGCACGCGGCTGAGAGCTGGTGGTGGGGCAGGGCAAAGTATGGATCCACTCCAAGCAGACCCCGGAGATGGGCAAAGCATGGAACCAGGGAGACTCTGCTGCCCAGCAAAGGGGGCTGGTGCACACAACCCCGGCTGGTTTGCGGGCATTCGCGGCTCGAAGCTCGAGTGCCGTCCACGGGCTCGGCAGCCTTGATGTGCCGGCCCGGGATGGGCAACGTTTGGCATGCTGGGGGCCGGGGCCGAGCGACGGGGACTGACGTAGGTCCATCTCTGGGGCGCCACGGGGGAAGGCAGACGCGAAGATGCAGAAACTTGCTGCCACTGGCGAGGTAGCTGGCGAGGTGGCGGCGAATATGCCAAGTGCCTCTGCGGCTGTTGGTGGGCAAGCTGTTCTGGCTGGTAGCCTTGGAAAAATGAACATGGTCAGCATTCCTACCCGTCCTACCCACCCTTTGCCAGCAACAACAGTCAACAATGAAAGCTGCAACTTTGTAACAAGTCTCGAAATCAAAACGGTCAAAAGACATTCTCCTAGAGTGTGCTGTTCTCCTTGATTTGTACAAGTGACTGGTAGCATGGAGAGGCATTGTTCCAAACTGCCAACTGGAGAAGTTCGAGGCAGCAGCCTGCATCACAACCCGAGGTGGAGAGCACGAGACCCGCCCCTGCGGATGCATCCTGCTTGCAGGCGGCTGGAGGCTGTAGGTTTGCCTCAGCAAGAAGAAGCCCAGTATAAATTGACAAGGTACAAGAGTTGAAAAACATGTGCAATGGTGCCTCTGGCACCTCATGGCCGCCTGCGTTGCAGACGCACTCCCCCCGGAAGCCTGAGCAACAGAATGCAGCAGCTCAGTTCCCGCTACGAACTGCTAGCTTGCCTGCTGGCTTGCGCACACCTCACAGTGACAGTCCCTTCAACAAGCGAGCCTGAAAAGCAAGCAAGTCCGTTTGCCCTGTCAACCGCATTGTCGCTAACAGATGAGAGGAACGCACAAGGCACTGCCTGTTTGGGGGGCGACTGGTTGCTGACCCCTTAAATTTGCCTCTTGTAAGTGGAGAGATCCACAACTTGTAAACCAAACTCAGCAGCCGCGTAAGCTATGCACTACTGTAGCCTGCAATGCTTCTGCCTTCTGGACTCCAGGTCTTTGATGCTGCTAGGGAGCCCGCGGCATTGGCATGGGTGGCGGCGGAGGCAGCAAAGGCACCGTGATGGGCTCCAACAGCACCTGCTGCGACACTTTGCGTCAAGCTTACCCGCTGTGGCTGAGCTGTGAGGCCAGGGGAAAAGCAGGGTTTAGGGTTTAGGGAGCAACCCACCCTTTTTCTAAGGATGCCGCCTGTGAGGGAGGCGGACTCACCCTGCTGTGGGCTGGCGAGGATCCCTTGGGCGTGGTGAAGCCATCCGAAGCTGCGGCGGCCTCAGGCAGGCCAGAATGCTTTGTAGGATTCAGGGTGTAGGTTCAGGGTTCCGGGTTAAGTGCTGTAGGTTTAAGATGTAGACGCGAATGTAGAGTGCCAGAATCAATAGACCGCCAGGTCTGTTGTCGCTCCATTCCCCTCACGATGGATCTTGCATTTCATGCGTCTGCGAAGAAAAATTGGTCTTACTTTGGGGCACGTCGTTTGTAGAGGTCTCAATGATTCGAACTTGAAGGCCTGTTGAAGATGGAGTGCGAACGAATGGAAATCCTTTAGCTATGGCATGCGGAAGCCAGCCTGCAAGTTTACAAATGTTCCAAGAGTGACTTGCAGACTGGCGACATGAGAATGCCCGCATAGACTCTTGAGGCATCGTGCAGTTTGAGCGGGCACTTTATCCCACTACATTACCCTGAGGATCCAAATAGCCCAGTGTAGGTATATCTATAGACTTTGGAGCCCAATGTAGGTGTTATATGTATACTCGGATCCCTAGGGTTACCCATGGGGTTGGTGGAACACCGACCTCCAACACCCTTGCACTAGCTACTTGTAGGAGGAGGCTCATCACCGCTAACGGCACGGAGACCTACCATGTAATTCATCAGGCTCATGAACAGTTTGTCAAAGCAATAGTCTACACTCCTAGTATCCCCCTAATAATCCCTATGGTAGTTCCCTATGTAATCCCCCATATACCCCCTACCCCCACCCTAAGGAGTTCAGACTATCGCTCATATGTGCTGTAGAAGGCGATCATGTTTCAACTGTGGCTGCAAACTTCCAGGTGGATCATGGCGTTCGCGCCGGATGCAACAATTACAGTCATCTCCTGGCATCTGGAAAAAAGCCCCCCCCATCCCAGGGGATTTGGACAAGACCCTGGTAGGTACGTTCCTATTCCAGTCCTAGTATATTCTTGGGGTTCCGTCTTTGGGGCTCCCCCAAACCCTCGAACCTAAACTAAACCCCTAAGCCCTGAACCCCTGAACTCCTCAACCCTAACCCCTAAACCTTAAACCCCTAAACCCACAACCCTAAAACCCTGAACCCGAGACATCGCCGGTCTTCCCCCCGTGGCCTGGCTTGGCGAGGCTTCTGCTGAAGGTTGGCCTGGGGAGTCCTGCCCAGTATCAGCTACTTTCTGGGGGCTACTACGGGATACGGGAATAATTTTAGGGCTTATAGGGTTTAGGGTTTACTTATACAGGGGTTATATGGGGATCACATAGGGATTATAGAGGGATTGTAGCTACGAACTGGGGGCTACTAGGGGATAAGGCATGATCGAAAGGAAAATGGAAACTACTGTAGTATAATGGTGTATATACTGGGGCTATAGGCCAGCATGTTACAAAACACTGTGTTGTTACAACGCCAAGAATAATGCCGAGAACGGAATAGGATGTTGCCCAGGTTAAGAGTTGGGTTTCCCATGCCTTTACAAGACTAACACAATTCAGAACGGACTATAGGAAAGTTCCCCTAGTTATAGCTTGGGTTTTCCTTGCCTATGAAAGGATTCCGCTCGGACTTCCCTGCAAGCCCGCCCCCAAACCACTCAGGATTATGAAAACTTACCAAGCTTGGTTGGAGGTCGTTATGCGAGAGCATGAGAGCAAGCCGTGTGGTCGTACCATGGCAAAAGCCCAAAATTGCTAGTCTCGTGGACTCTTGGAGCAGTCCTCATCGGAAGGATTCTGCTGACTTGGTGTCTGAGCACTTTGCCAAACTGAACGTCTAGTAACAGCAGGAGCCGCAGCAGCAGCAGTAGTAGCAGCAGCAGCGGAATCTAGGAGCCAAACAAGAACAGAGAGCCTCCTTTGCAGCACAAAAGCAATGTTAAATGCAGCAGCTGGACTGGCCAAGCCCTGGCACACAGAAATGCAAGACTAGTAACAGCTCGGCTGCATCAAGCTTTGAACACGCATTATCTGCAATCAGTGTGTACAAGGAGACATATAGAATTTTGGGAAGAACCGCATGGGCCCACCAGCAGCTCTTTAGCTTCACCTTGAAGCCTTGGGTGCTAAACATGGCAGTGGGCGTTCCGGAGCTTAGGGTTTTTTTAAACCCCTCGAATTAGGCTTTAGGGTTTAGGGATACAAGCAAACTCTTGGGTCCCCTATGCAGCATACAGTGAGGCCTTAGGTGAAATCTTCCAAAGCTCAAGAAGCGGCAGTTGATTAGAGGATTAGTCAAAGGTCTCAGTGCACGATGACGCGTAATACTCTGCTGCATATGTTCCCAGGTATGACTCCTCTAGTTGCTCGTGTCCCAACCCCCGCAAGAGGAAGGTCCTGAGATTGGTCGGCAGGAGGCGGGTGCTGCTCTTCAGGCAGGGACGGAAGAGACTCCTGCAAACTGCAGTCAAACCCTTAACAAACACGCGGGAAGGACTATCAAGCGTTTATATGGTGGCGAGGTTAGGCGGGACTCTATGGGGCACGCATAGATTTTGGTATGGGACTCTAGTTATGGGGCTTGCTGAAGATCCACTAGGATAGCACCAATTTGGGTTCCTGTAAAATGTAATTTAAAGCAAGTGCAGAATGGCTTCAAGGGCTTCTGTGCTTTCATGATGTCAGTCTAATCCCTGTGAGACTAGACCATATTAGCAAGACCTGGGGCGAAATTCCTGCTCTGGCTGCGGCTGTGGCGACGGTGAGGCGTCGGAAGGCGTCCGAGGGGAGGGAACTGGCTCCTTCCCGGGACTGTTAAGGTTTAGGCCTTCGGGTGTCTCAGTTGTTTGTGGTTAACGGTCAAGATACATGCAAAAGTTTACAATATGCAAAGCTATTGAGATTCTTGCACCACAGCTGGTGACCCTAAATAAGCAACAGGCTGGGACCGCTGGGACTTACAGGGTAAGCTTCTTCTTCCAGAGCATAGACTTCGACTTGTCAAGTGCGTGTTCAAACAGACAAACACTGGTCTTGTCAGGATGCTGAATCCTTTGCAGATAGCAGCCATAAGCGAAAATGGAGCATCCCATCAAGGCCCTGAGTGCTTGGATGCTGAATCGGTCATGACATGGTGCGCTTTCAGAATTGGTGTGGGAAGAGCTGCGTGCCCAATGGCAAAGCAGTAGTACTTAAAACGGCTTTGGAATTTTGACGCTCACCTTTGCTGATCGCCAAGACCAGACTAAGATCCCTGAGTCCTGTGCCCCTGTCTGAGATTCGGCTTGCCGAAGAGGCAAAGCCGGGGCCGACGGCAGCTGCAGAGTTTCTGGCGGGGAGCTGGGCAGCGCCTCTGGCATCCGAGGCTCCGAAGGCTCTGAAGGCGCAGAGGGCGCCACATCTCGTGCGGCATCTGCGGGCCCTCGTGTGAGGGGTTTGAAGCTGTGAGTGATGCTGTCCCAGAAGTAGCGCCGCTTGTACCTCATGCTGCTTTCACTCTCTCGGCTGCCCCTAGATGCATCATAAGAAAGAAGCTTGTGACATCTTGTGACCTTAGTAGCGTCGTCCCGCTGATGGCTAAGAGCAAGAAAGAAGCCGAGCCACTCGTCAAGGAGCTCCCTGGAGTTCGTCGTGGTCTGCATTAGGACAGCCATCTGCAGCGCATGCTCCTGGTTGTATCCATGGCTTCGGGGTTACCACAAAGGGGCTTCTGGGGGATCCCTAGAGAGAGATCATGGCTAAAGACGGGGTTGGTCGCGCAGTTGGGCTTTAAGCCGCTCTGTTCAGGACTCTTCGGGGTTTAGGCTTAGGGCTTGAGGGTTCAATGGTTCCGCCTTCAGTGCCGCAAAAGTCTCACGCTAAATCCCACATGGACTTGTACCGTACAGGTTCGGAGTGTAGGAGCTATAGGACTGAAGGCTAAGCAATTCAGCAACGGGGTGTGGGGCCTTGGCTGCACATATTTGATTCCCTGGTCGCCCAAGCACGTTCGCGGTATGCATCTTGGAGAAGTGTCCAATTGTCTCATTCCCTCAAAGCGAAGCCACTTTGTAGCTTACTGTTTCGGGACTAATGAGGCCACGTATTTCATGGTATCATATGGTCTCCGCCAGCGCAGCGTCATGAAGGCTGACTTGCCACGTGCCAATGCGGTAAAGGGTCATAGTTCGAGCTCGCTCTCAAGTTCTCTGTTTCAAGACCACTTGAAGGACAAACTTGCCTAAAGGTCAGCTGACGATGGATGGAGATCTCCAAATATCTTTCAGAACTCGTGCGTAACCGTGGACATCTCAAACCACAAGCATGCAAGGGTGTAGGGGGATACTGCTACCACTGCCAGCGGTTTCTACATTGAGACCGTCCTTGTTCTCCTTTTTGGAATCTTCCAGCCTGTCCAGAAACATGTTACGCCGCGCCATCATCTTCTCCTAACATCGGGAAGCAGCACATGACAGCCTATGGGCAGTTAGCATAACTAACTTCTTTCTTTGTGAGCCAGGGTACCTACAAGGGTACACACAACTCACCGTATCAGGGACAGGCAAGCATGGTGAAGTGGGCACAGGGGACGATGTTCTACAAGAACGTTTGTCAAAACCAAAACTACAAAAACCTGGAAATTGGGACCCCATGACTTGATAACTATAGAGTCCTATTTTTGGGTTAGGGGTGCCACAACAGCTGTGCAAGAGCTCCCAGAACTCCCCTGCAAGTCCCTAAACCCAAACCCCAGAGCCCTAGACTCCTAGACCATTTCTTGGCTCTGAGTGTCCAAGCAGAATCCGCAATCATTGACCATGCGAATGTATGCCTCAGTTGTCCGGTATTGTTTAGGGTTAGCGCTTTTACAGGATAAGCATTTTCTTTGAAATTCGATTTCATCTTTCCCTAAAGCCGACTAAACCCTAAACCCCTAAACTCCCTGGAACCCTAAAACCCTCAAACCCAAAAGGCTACCCACCGGTCGGGCAGGATGCGGCTTGCACGGCCAACCCCCAGGACTGCGCCAGACTTTGATCTGGTGGAACTCCTCCAAGCACTGCTAAAGTTGCTGCCCGGGACAGAACTGCTTAAAGTGCTTTTCAATTGAGGTTTGAGGGTCTAGGGGCTAGGGTTAAGGCTCATTAGGATAAATGATGCCTGGGCCGTGGAGGTGACGCATCGCCTTAGATACACTCCTGGAAAGTAACATGGAAACCCAAAAGGGGCTCTATAAAGACTACAGTCCCTCTAAAATGCAGCTATATGGGTTTCCATGTTAGTTTCGAGGAGTGTAAACAGTTCTGGGGAACAAACCCCCAAGCAAACAGCATCCTGCGCCTTACGGTCCCCAAAGCCAACCCTTTGAAAAGCCGTCAGAGCGGTAGTACGAAACTCAGGGTTCCTTGCCGAAGAACCCTGCTAAGGGACCTCAGGCCTCCGGAAAGTACGAAGAAGCCCGAGGCAGGGCATTGCTGGTAAGAAAGCCCCGCCCGAATCCTACACGCCATACTTTTCTTGACCTCATGAGGGGAGTGAGCAGAAATACCCATAAAGAGCTTAGCCCCAGCATTAGCTATCCCTTGACAGCTAAGTGAGCTATAGTCGAAACTCTTAATATCCCCCTTAATAACCCTTATAGTAGTCCCCTATATAATCCCCTACATAACCCCCATTAAGGAGTTTAGACCATGGCTCAAGTAACCCCTCAAAACCTAAAGCCAACGGAAGCCCTGGCTGGCCCACTGCGCCTGGCAGCGCCGTAGGCTGGCACGAAAGCAGCTGCGTCAGTGTGTCGATGAGGAAAGTGTTGCGGCTCTTCCTAAGTGAGGATAGGGATTTGAGGGTACGGGATTGTGGTGAGGTGCACTTTCCTTTAACAGCTTCGCAATGGATTTTCACATGAACCTAACTACTTGCAGAGGACCCTGAAGCCCAAGACTTGCGGGAAACGCCATAGACAGGATAGCATCACTGATGCGCACGTGAAAACAAGAGGAGGATCAATCGCCCTACCTTGTAATCAAGCCTCTAACCCCGGGATGGTAAACTGCCTCTACATACTGGCGCCATCCGCTCTGGGGAAGAGATTAGCAGGAGAGCTTTCGGGGCTCAGGGATGCTCAGGGCACATTTGGCACCTGAAGAAAGCATCGAAGCCACTACATTGCTGGTTCAACATCAAGACAAGATCTTCCTTGAAGGGCCCGAAGAATTGGAAGGGTTGTGCAATGTTTAGAGGAACTCTAAGTCCTGTTGATGCAGTCAAAGCAGCGAGTCCTCAGCGTACCTGGGACGAGGCATGCTGCCAGCAAGGGGTTGTTTCAACATATAGAGATTCGGAGGCATGTATGCTTTGCTATGCGTCCTGTACTTTATTTGTGGCTGTTTTTTCACGTGAGGCCTTTTCAATGTGCGTCGGGATTGGGACAAATTGACAGGTCGTGATTGCGGTCGCAGCTGTTTTTTGACAGTCAGAGCCAAACATCTGCAATGCCACCCAAGCCAGAATTCTTCCGGCCGCAAGTGATCATCTTTTGCAAATATTTTTCAACATACTCTCAAACGTTGGAGGGTGAATCAGAAGCACAGCAAAGCAGAAGAATACGAGACAGATTTTGGATCGTTAAACCCTTCCAGACGACACTGCTGACCATGAGGGCCTAATTACAAGACAGCATCATGACATCAGCACACACCCAATCACCTGAGTCACTCGAGCAATAGGCTAAGCTCCCAGTATCCCCAGTAATAACCCGTATACTCCCCCTATATAAACCCCTAAACCCTAAATACTGGAGTTATATGATCCCCTATACCATTACCATTGAGGAGTTTAGACTACAGCTCACTTGGCACAGCACCCCAAACTCTCTGGCCAGGGGACAGCACCATGAGATCCAGGCAGGCCTCTCCAGCAGGAAGTACTAATTTTAATAGGGTTTAGGGTTTAGGGATAGCAATAATAATAATAAAGTCTTAATGATGGTGGTAGAATGAATAATGGAAGAAATAAAAGTCGTAGTATTAATAATCGTAAAATGAAAATAAAAGTAGGAATATGAATGTGAGTCATAAAATAGTGGCAATGTTAATAGCAATAATGAGAATAGTACTAGTAATAGGCATAAGAATTACAGTGATACTCGAAATAAAAAAAGGCCATGAAAGCCGTAGCAATATTAGCAGCACTAATATTGATTCTTATTTTACTAGTGATGGTAGTATGAAGCATATTAATGGTTCTGGGGGTCCTTTCCTCGGCGGTACGTATGTTCGAGCTCAGATTTACTGGGACCTACCCATATGCCGCATTTCCGGCAAAGAAGGAGTTTAGACTATGGCTCACATACCTGCTGGCCGTGACGGTGGCGCGTACCCAGCCATGCCCCCCTACAGAAAGCTACGGGGAATGAACATTAGGGTTTAGGGTTTACGGATTTAGGGTCTAGGAATGCCAAACTTGAACAGGATAACTTAGGAGGACCAAGCGATATACTAGGAATATAAGAGGACCCTAATATAATCCTTCTTATCCAAGATAGTCACTAATACAGGGTGGGGGGTCCACCTACAGGATATCATGCAAATGCACCCAGCCTCTGGTGCGCATTTTTCTTCAGACTGACCCACGAACATCTACAAAGTGCATGAGAAAACTGTCCCTAAACTCTAAACCCTGAACCGTAAACCCTAAGCCCTTGAGGCAGCCAATCCGTTGCCCTCAATTCTTTCAAACATCTCACTCGGGATGCAAGGAGCCACCAACCATGAGCCCCTAGGTAGGGTTTAGGGTTTAGGAAAGCCATTATGGGGTTTAGGGTTTAGGGTAGGGTTTCCGGAAAATGTGGATATTACCCCCAATAATGGAGAAGCAAATGGAAAAGAACATGGAAAATGAAATGAAATGGACACTGGCATTATAAAGGGGTTTATAGGAGCTATAGTCTAAACTCCCAGTATCCCCCTTTCTTACCCCCATAGTAATCCCCTATATACTCCCCTATACAACCCCCCTTGAAGAAGTTTGGACTATATGTCACATGGGTGGTTGTCAAAATTATGGTCCCTTTTTGGGTCCCTATTATAATACGGCCCCTAATACTTAGGGTACCCAAAAAGGGACCATAATTTTGACAACCACCCACATGTATCTTGACATGGACCATGGCAACTCATCAGTGCCAGATTCCTGTTCTACTCCTTGGATGGATTTATAAATCAGGTGAACCTTGGGTACTGCCCCCACCCTGTAACAGTCTATATATTATATTAATATGAATATTGGGTCATACTCAGGGCTATATGAAACTATGTTGTTAATATTACCCAACTGTTACACAGTGGGGAGCACCCAAGGTTTACCTGCAAAAGAAAACTTTGCACGACTATGTTTACGGGGGCCTGGCTCCTCGCGATGAGTGCCGTACGAACAAGTTTCCCCTGCAATTGTTCGAGGGATTCCCGAAACGTACGATATCAGTCCTAGGTAGACGTTTACTGCAGCACGAATGTTATCTGTAACAGTAATGTAATTTAGGAGAATCTTGGATATTACGTGGATGTAGCTTGGGTCTTTCTGCCAAGTAGTAACCAAGTGCCAGCACAGCCCTGAACCTAGCAGAACTACTGCGGTTGGATGTAAATCTTGCACTACTCTTTAAAATCTCATACCCTGGCATTCATGTGGAGCCCCACGTGATGCAAGACTTCCATTCTCCTCCGTTGCATCTGACTGCCAGCATGCAAGCTTCCAGGCCTTCAGAGCCTCTTCCTCCTGAGACTGCTGGGCCTGGTGTGCTCGAAGCTCCTCCGGTATATTTTGGGGTTATATAAGGATAATGGAAAAGAAAATGGAAGCTACTACTTAGGGTTTAGGGTGTAGGGGTTTAGGGTTTAGGGATTCAATCGTGACGCTACAGGGCTCTTAGGTTTCGAGCAGTCGCAGTGACAGCATGGGCAGGAATCAAAGATAACCACAAGTCTTGAATGACCCTGCCTCGAACTGATCCAGAAGGTCCTGGATCTGCATTCCTTGGGCTATAAGGACTATTTGGCTTGTATGTGAAAGTCTACAATGTGGGGTGGGGGCACTGTCAAAATGATCCGTATAGAACTCCCTCATAAGGAGCCTCAACATAACCATGGTAAACTTCCACTTCTGCTTCCCGTACATGACAAATGCCCCTGCGGGCCGCCTTCTTTAACACAAAATTGGACGAAGGCTTTGGGGTAGCTTGCACAAAGAACTAGCATGACCAGCTGGGAATCGATGCGTCATGGCCTTTGCATCCTCCTCACGGAAGAAGGTCATCACGTTAGACAGGAAGCTGTCCTCGTTAGCCTTCGTAATCGAGGGTTTCATGTTTGTCCCATGTATCGCAGGGTAAGGGAGGAGCTTGTTGCAGAACAGCTGATATTAGGCTTCAGGGCACGAAGGCTTTGCCTGACTATACCATCCTTACGCATTGATGAATAAACTCTTCTGCCTTACAGCACTTTTTCTCAGGGGATGATAGGCTTAGCTCACCCCAGGTGCTAAGTTCCCTGGCCCAAAACAGGTTGTCCTTGTAATGATTGCAAGATTGTATATGCGCAAAGAAAAAGGGGACCTACTCTGCTACTGAATAAGCCAGTATTGTTCTAGTCTTCCAAGCAAGGGTCGACGTCTACAGGCGTCCACGGCCGTCAGGGCTTTACGAACAGAAGAGCGGAAGGAACCACCATTCAAAACTGGTCATAGCTTGAATGATTTCTCACCTACCTGGCCTTCTGATCCACCAGCTGGCGCTGCAGTGCCCTGCACTGCGCCCGTAGCCGTTGCTTCCGCGTATCCGACGAGCCCTTCGCTTAGCATCTAAAGAACGGGTTTAGAGCTTCGGTTTTCGGGTTCAGCTTCTACACTAGGATGGTGAGCTTAGGGTTGGATGGCCGCGGCGGTGGCGGCGGGCGCGGCTGCAGCTGAGGGGGCTGCGGCTGCGGTGGCGGTGGGATGAGGCGGGCGGGGGTTGGGTTTTGGTGGATGGAGCTTGGCTGTGAGCAGGCGCACGAG